ACCAATCAGAAGAAAGCAGGTTTTTTTAAACTTTAGTTTAAAAAGGCCCAGTATGAAATAAATAAGACTTATTTTGAACAGTGAATCATGCAAAGCAACTCTAGTGGAGCCCAAGAATAAAATCAAAAGCTCTTTCCTGAAGCAGTCCAAAATAATAATGACCTTTGCTCTCATCACCAGGTGTCCCACCACTGTCCCGGCGTTCCCATCCTCCTGGTTGGCACAAAAAGCGACCTCAGGAACGACGCCGAGATTCAGAGGAAGCTCAAGGAGCAGAACCAGGCGCCGGTCACCCACCAGCAGGGCGCCGCCCTCGCCCGCCAGATCCAGGCCATCCGCTACATGGAGTGCTCGGCACTCAACCAGGAAGGCATAAAGGAAGTGTTCACCGAGGCGGTGAGGGCGTACCTCAACCCGCAGCCCACCGTCACCAAGAAGCCCTGCGTCCTGCTGTAGGACCCGGAAACAGCGAGTTGGGCTGATGTTCGTTTAAAAGCCTGAGAGACTGGACACAAAGTTTATGTTAAAGATTTTTGTGTTTGGTTAGATTTTTATCTTTTAATTTGCAAAAATGAAGTTTTGAATTAAGGAGGAGTCGAGAGTTTATCAGCCTTTGTTTTTTTTTCTGACGCACCGATGAAGCGCCGGTCTGAAGTGCTGGCGGTCCGTGAGCGCTGCAGAACGTCTTTAAGGACCACCAACCACAAACACCATCCTTAGCTCCAAATTTGACAGACATGCCTGCAGCTTAAAGCTGTCGTCACATTCGTTTTCACTTTTCAGGCCCAAATGTTTCCTCAGTTTCCCAAAAGCAAAGAAATCTGCATTAAAATGAGGCTTAAAACGGGTCATTGGGCGTGGAAGTGCTGGAGCATTTACAATAAAACACATGGAAATGTTTGAAATTTTGTAATAAAGTTTGAAATCGCCATCAAATATTTATGATTAAAGGAAAACAATCAAAGTTAATGAAGCTTTTGTTCTGCGTTTATCTGCCTTAACTGGCGAATCAACACGTAGCTCAGAACACAACATGTAGTTTACGATACGATCAGGTTCATTCTCTGATAGATGAAGAACAGCTCTGTGCACATCGCAGCAAACAGGAGCTGCTTTAACGGGCGCCGTGACAACAAAAGCTCAAACAAAGGCTGAAAAACAGCGTGAAGATGGTCTGAGGCTGACGGGCGGGTCTGACAGGAAGCTGCTCTGGTGGAGCGCCGAGCTGATCTGCATAGAAAGAGGAAGTTAAATATAATCCTGTTATTGATACTGAGAATTTACTGCGACTGCACACACACACACACACACACACACACACACACACAGACACACACACACACACACACACAGAGGTTGTGTGAAATGTGAGCTGTGAGGCAGCTTTCACAGGTCAGAGATGAGAAGTTGAAACAAAGAGCAGCTGTGCATCATTCACAGTTCAGAATAATCCTTCTTTATCTACCA